TCTTGGCAGCCCTCCTCTGGAGTCGCTCCAACAGTTCCATGTCCTTCCTGTGCTGGGGACCCCAGAACTGGATGCAACACTCCAAGTGGGTCTCACCGAGCAGAGTAGAGAGGCAGAATAACCTCCCTTGACTTCCTGGTCATGCTCCTTTTGATGCAGTCTAAAGTACAAGTGGCTTTCTGGGCTGTGAACACACACTGCTGGGTCACATCCAGCCTCTCATCCATCAACACTCCCACGTCCTTCTCATCAGGGCTGCTCTTGATCTGTTCATCCCCCAGCATGTATTGACACCAGGTACAGCACCTTGCAGTTAGTCATATTAAACCTCATGAGATTCACATGGATCTACTTTCCAGATTGTCTAGGTCCTTCTGGATGGAATTTGGTCCTTCAGGTATGTTAACTGCACCACTCAGCTTGTGGTCATCAGCAAATTTGCTGAGGGTGCCCTTGATCCCTTCATCTGGTCCCAGTATTGACCCCTGAGGGATACTACTTGTCACTGATGTCCATTGGGACACTGAGCCATTGACCAGTATCCTCTAGATGCAACTTTCTTATCCATCTAAAAGTCCACTCATCAAGTCCATCAAATCCAATTTAGAGAGAAAGGTGTTGTGGGGGATCAGTCAAAGGCTTTACAGAAGTCCAGATAAATGCCATCTGTAGACCCTTCCTTGTCCAGTAGTTGCTCCATCATAGAGGGCCATTGGATGGGTCAGACAGGACTTCCCTTGCTGAAGCCATGCTGGCTGTCTTGAATCACCCCTGCATCCTCAATGTGCCTTAGCACAGCTTCTCGGAAGATCTATTCCATGATCTTCCCAGGCACAGTGGTGAGGCTGACAGCTCAGTAGTTCCCAGGGTCCCACCTTCTACCCTTTTTAAAGATGGGTACAGTGTTTCCCCTTTTCCAGTCACCTGGGACTTCTTCTGACTGCCATGACTTTTCAAATATCCTTGAGAGTCGCTTGACAGCTACATCAGCCAATTCCCTCAGGACTCTGGGGTGCATCTAATCAGGTTAAGGTCACAAACCTGATCTTCTCTTAAAGTGGAAGGGACTTTTCTCTCCTAGTCCCCGTCCTGCTGTCCATCTACTCAAGAGGTGTGGAAAGAGAGGTTACTAGTGAAAATTAAAGTTGAGTACGTCAGTTTTCTCTCCATCTGTTGTTAGCAATTAACCAGCATTGTTTAGTAGGGGGTATACACCTTCTTTGACCTTCCTTTTCTGGTTATACCTTCAGCTCATCCTCATTTAGTATAGCCTGGAGGTTTTCAGAGCTTCCAGCTGCCTGCAGGTCCAAAAAACAATACACATGCCAAGACTATCTGGATCACACCACTGCTCAGCAGTGTCCTTTTCTTGCCTTGAACACACTCCTATCTTAAGGCAACACAGTGGTCAAAGCCCTTGCATGTGTGCTTGCTGAGCCAACTTCTTTCCAGCCTCTTTGCATCACTCAGCTGACTTCAACTGATCAGACAATGAAGAATCTGTACTCACCTTTTCCTTCCTCTGTTCTAAAATTCATTAAATTACTAGAAAGGTTAGTACAAATACAATTGAGCACTAGTAGGAAAGTCTAGTATTGCTTTTTGTTCTTCAGGTATAGTAGAACAACTTACATGAAAATTATGAAGAACCATTAAGTAAAGTGGACAGTCTATTTAAGTGTTGCCATATAGTAATTTTTTCCCTTTGAAAATTTTGAACAGAAATTGTTCCCGAATGATGACGTGAATACAAGTGCAGCTATCTCTGGTGGTGTGTTAGAGCTGTGCTAAGAATCAAGTATTTATAAAATCATACAGTAGAACACCCTGAAAAAAAAATTAACTGTGCAGTGCTAAATGATTATTGCTGGGCTTTTTCTTTCTGCTAGCCTTTCATTAGGTTTGGTTTCTTTTTTTTTCAGTGTACCATACTAAAAGCTACACATAGTGGAATTGCTTGTAATCTGTGAATTGAAAAGAGAACACTTGCTGTCACTTCCTTTTTTCTAAAAGCATATACAAAATAACATGCAAATTCTTAATGCAGTTGGTGTTCAACTGTACTTCTCTCCCTCATATTAAAGTCTAATGAGACATAAATAACTTTTGAAATTTCAAGATGCCTCTCATCCACAGTTTTAGGACTTCATGGTCTGTGTAGGGAAACTTGATTATGTGTCTATTCCAAAAAACCTGATTAGTAGATCAGTCCTGGATGGGAATAATTTCAGGGTGATATCTTAGAGGTAACACAGAAGTCAGAAACAATGTTGTGAGGCTCTCAAAGCTGCACAGCTGATAATTATTCTTTTATTCTTAGCTTAGTGGTACTGAGGTGTTATACTTGAAAAGCTGTTAACCACTACATTTTCCACCACATTGTATATCAACAATAGCATGGGCCAAATTTAGAGCTTTAGTAGCATTCAGAAAAAAGATTTCCTGGGGTTGTTCTGCCCTTCAGAACAGGAGGTGTGCTTGTTTAGAAAGTACTTTGTGATCATTTAGGAAATCTTTTATTTCCATTTAAGATATCAGGACTGGCTTGACAGCTCTGAGATCTGAGAACTGTCAGAAGGTGCTGAGTTCAGCAAGTCTTTAGCCTAGCATTGTCCATCAGAATTTTACTTACTCTGAGTGGTCAGTCACAAACTCTTGAAGTGTGGCAGCCTGAAATGAGAGGTCATGAGATGGGGTGATGGGACTTCCTTGTGAGTGATGGATTCTGCTTTCTAATGTGCTTTGAGATATACTGGGAAGGTGAGTTGTAGATAAAGAATCCTGAATGTAAGGTGCTGTTGGTGATATATATTATTGCATAACAAACTGAGTGTTTTATTACTTTTACCTAAATATTTCATCCCTTCGGTTTATTTTGTTGGTCTCATACTTCCTGGAAAAACGTTACCTGCATACTCTCTGAAGCATTTGAAGGGATAATCTTGTTAAAAAAAACATGGTTCCTAGTATTGGATTTTCAAGAACTGCTGATGGGCAGGCCACAGGCTAGCAGCAAAGTATCATCATACAAATTCATTTTACCTCACTTCATTGTCCATTGAATCCTCAAGGCAATCATTGTATGAGGTCATCAGATAACTTTGCATATGTTAACAAAACCTCTGCTTCCTCAAAAGCATTTAATCCAGTACACTTACAAACATGTTATAAACAAAGCTATTTCTATTTTCAGTAGCAATCTTGCTGAAATCTACACTGTGAGAACAGTCGTGTTCAAGAAGTAGCAAGCTGTGATGTCTGTTGTAGAACATCATGAATTCTCTTTTGACAGATAAACAGGCTGGAAAATCCTGACTTTATTTGCCTGAGAATTCCTTAAGATCAGACAGCATTTATAGTAATATACATCTGAAAGACAGTGCCTACAATTTAATGGGGATTTTTGCTGAGTGTTGGTTAATGTCTTTACTGAGGTGGTTACACTGCAAAATTTTCTTTAAATGGTTCTGTCAGTTAATCTCAATTCAAACAATTTCTCTTGCATTACTTTTTCCAGAGGTAAATGGACATTATTCGAAATTGTGGAGTGTTTTGCAATAGCCACATATATGTGAGTTTAACAACTATGAAGGAGCCTGAAGTTTTTGAGCATGTGCTCAAAAATGTAAAAAAATATGAATCCAGTATCCAAGATGTTGAACAGTAATGCACTAATGAGCTATTAGGCAGTAGTCCATGCTGGGGTGTTTTATTTGAAAAAGAGTTTTAGTTAGCTTGTTTGCCTGATTTTTTTATTTGTCTGACATTTTGAAAATAAGGTAAATTTGATGTGAAATAGGTTAAGGGAGACATTATAGATGGCAATAAAAAGCCCACCAAATAAACATTTCTCTACCTTGGAGTCATGTTTGCATGTAGCTTATTCAAACACATGTGCCAGCTGTTTCAAAACTTGATGTTTCAGGTACACAGCTTGCAAGACAGACAGCATGCCTGGCCTAAAACTCACTCAGCTCCGACTTCAGTGTGGAGAAGCACTCTCCCCCTAAGATCTACATTGAAAAAAAAATAGCCAGGCTTTGTAGGTGAGGCTTGCACCCTACATATAGGGTTCTTTTTCTGACATTATTTGCATACCAACAGATCTCCTGTTGTTGGGGAGTTATTGAAGAAGGGAACATCTTCCTGTATGTAACTGAAACTTCCACAAGACAATTAGTTCCATTGGAACATTCAATAATTTTGATTAAACCATGTTTTTCCCTAATGTTATGGGGTCCATTTCCCATACTGTATTGCTGGGTCCAGTTCCAAGACTTGTCCATCAGTCCTTTCTTTGCTTACAGACAACATGTGGTACTTTGTGCATGCAAACACACACCCCCCTAGAGAGGCTTCAGGTTAGAACAAACAAGACTGCACTCATTTGAGCACTCCCACACACAAATACATACAGGTCAGCGCAAACACGATTGCAGTTATTTGAGCGCTCCTCTAAACAGCTGGTGCTTCGGCGGCTCATCATTGTTCGGAGCGCTTACACGTGCTCTTACCTCCTCCCTGCCCTTCTGTAAATACCAACTGGTTAATTTCTGATGGTGCCCCGGTGGGTAGGTGAGAGCAGACGGGGAGGGTGGCTCGGCGCGGCTCACGGCGGGGTAGGGCTATGTGTATGGAGGGGCACCGGCGGGTCCCATCGCCGCCGCCGCGGTGCCGCACCGCGCCCGCCGAGCTCGATACCGGCCGCGAGGGGGCGGATCCGCGGTTGGCCGCGGCTCCGGGGCGGGCGGCAGAGCCGAGGCGAGCGAGCAGCCCGGCCGGACTGAAGTTTTTGGCTGCTCGCCGCCCCGGTGGCCCGCAGAGAAGCGCTGCCCTGCGGAGGGGCAGAGCTGCGGCGGCCGCTGCCCGCGCTGGCACTATGAGGGAGCAGCACCCATGCCTGGGCACCGTGCAGCACTGCAGGATGGGCGTGTTGGAGCTCGCCGGTAGCCCTGTGAAACGCTTGCGAACTGAGCGCGCCTTTCCCTGTCTCTTCGCAGAGGAGGCCTATCAAAAACTGGCTAGCGAGACCATGGAGGAGCTGGACTGGTGCCTGGACCAGCTGGAGACCCTGCAGACCAGGCACTCCGTCAGCGAAATGGCCTCGAACAAGGTAGGAGCCCGTGGGCTCGGCACCGCCGCCCCGCTCTCCCTTCGCGCGGGCGGCCGCAGGGCCGGGGGTCGCCGCGGCCAGGGCGGCCGGAGGGTCCTGGGGGCTGGAGCGGCCCCGGCCGGAGGAACTTGCCGTAGGCGAGCAGTCTCCGTACGCGGGTTTGGGTGCGGGAGCGGCTTCTGTTGTGGTTTTGTACACCGTTTCCTGAAATTTCAGAGCAAGTTGCGAAAGTTATGCAGGTCTTGGAAAGCTACACTGTTTCTCTGTATATCTGCTTAAAAACAAAAAGAGATTGTTTAGAGCTTCTGTCGATAATCCCTTCGGTTGCTCTTTCTTTTCACAGCATCCCGTACAGAACTAGGGATCTTTCCTGGAGATGGTGTATAAAGTAGCATGAAAAAGTGATAAAGGTAGTTCTTGATCCCGAGGGAGCTGTATGCTGGATTCTGTTTGTAAACAGTAATGCTGACAGCTCTCATAACGCTATTTGTTATGAAAGAACATGCTCGGAACCGAGGTGCCATCACAATAGACACTTACCTCTCGAGGTGTGTTTCTGAGGCAGAGTGCACACTTCCTTCCCATCCTGGAAGCTGAGGATGCATATTATCTGTGAACTGTGTGCTGGGATCTGCTGTGGTCTGTATGCGCATTTGTTTTGCAATTTGAGATCGAGTTTCCATGTTCCCTATTAATAAATGCACTTTCTTCCTTAATTTTAGTTTGCAAAGAATATGTACTTAAATTTCTGGAATTAATTTTTACAGACTAATTAATAACTCTGCTGTCTTGCTTCAGAATTTATTTTTATATTTGTCATCGTCTGAATATTTGGCCAGCTACATATACAGTTAGAAATAGGAAAGAAGCTTTAATTTGAAGAGTCTTCCATCTCTTATGTCTTCAAAAGCAGCTGATAGATATTTTACCACCTTCTAATGATTTTGGTTGCAATTAGTAATTTTTTTTTAATTCAGAAAATAGTTGTTTTGACTCAGCTTATGCCCTCCTAAAATTACAGTCTTCCTCTGGCTGCCCTTACCAAGTATCTGCCGTTTGTTATTGGCTGTTTTTAAGTCCCTCTTCAACTCTGCTGCATGTCAGGTGTGAAGTATTAGGCCCACAATGTCATGTGCTTTTCTTGGCTTTAGAGACTTGTAGCATGAATTTAATTTCTTTTTAAAAGTTGTCTGCCTGGCATTTCGCTATTCTCAGAACTTCATTTTCAGTTTTTATTGCCATTTGAAAGATTTTGTTACTCAGTATGTATTGTGTATGTATCCACAAATTACAAAGTCAAGAGTTTTGGAGAACCTGTTGGTAACTAGTTTTAACACCTGTCAGTTTCCTGACTTGTGATGTCTGTATAGCCACGCTTTCATAAGATGCTCGACTTTCTTTGAGTATTTATTTATTACATCCCTATAATATATCAGATATGCATACGTAATTTATGAACAATAAGGGCAAACTGTTTTTAAGATAAGATAAAACTAACTGCAAATCAATGTGTCTTTAAGTTTTGCCTAATATATACAAATTTTTACTGAAGAGCAGTTTTAAAATAAAATTTGACAATTGCTTTGCATGTGTAAGTAGACAGAGACATGCTACATTTGATACTGTGTTCTGTTTGTATTTGTTTGAATTAGTAAGCTTTGTCATTCTTTTTGGGGAAGTCTTGTATAGGAATTTGTATAGAAATTTGTGTCACCTTTCAGTGTTTGTTCTGTTTTGTTTGTTAAGAAACTTTTAAAAAGTAAGTCCATGCCACTAACTATAAAGTGAACAGTTTGGAATATAAAAGAGCAAGCCCATATAATAGTTTGAGAAAATTTAGTGCAGAAGGATTTTAATTTCGGGTGTATATCAGGTTGTTCTAAAGAATCATTTTACTTTGGATTACTACAACATATCCAGCATTTATACAATAAGTCCTATTGTAATATAACTGCAAACTGTGCCATCTCAGTGAAGCATACTAGTAAATTATACTATTTTAGGTTACGGAGAAACTGAATAGAAAAACTTTGCTCAAGGCTGAGGACAGACTTTAGTACAGCAATGAGTATCCAAGAGTACGCTGTTCTCTATCTGAAATGTAGGTCCTGTAAAATCAGAAGAGAAAAGCAGGAAAGGAAATGTCGTTGGTACAGAACATGGTTTCTCACTGTGTTTATCTCTTCTTTTCTCTGGGTTTCTCTACAAACCAACCCAAAAGATTGATTGATTGGTGGTGGTTGTGTGTCGTTTCCACCCCGCCCCCCCACCCCCGGCATCCTTTATTTTCTCTTTATTTTGCATATAACAGCATTTTCACCAGTGCTAGTTTTCCTTATTTATGGGAACACGTGAGACGTAAGGGGTCCGTAAGAATTGAGCCCTGCACCAGGTAAGAGCTTTTGCACATTGTGGAAAGGCTGCCATAGTAAAGGAAAAAAATCCAGGGTGGAACCAATATTAGTATCCTGAATGCTTGAATTAGGCCAGGGAGTAAGTCTTACCTTTAGTCCCTCTCTATGCAGTGAGTTGGCAGTCTGAACTGTTGGTTGCATCTGTTTGGAATCCCTTTACCATCGTAATGTTTGCATAGGACTTGCATTAGCACATCCCAGTCCAGTGGTATTTTTTTTTTTGTCTGGTTGCCCCTCATGCTCAGTTAGCAGTAGTCTATGAGGTGCCAGCTGACAGCTTCGGATGACTGAAAGTGGAATGACATAGATACATAAGAAGATCCTTCTTCTCCCTGCTTAAAATTGCTTGAAGCAGTAGTCACGGGGTGCTGTGTGCGATCTCTAGATGAGCCCTTGCATCATATAGGATTAAGTGTTACCCAGAAGACTTAGAAAATGTGACACAGGTCTATTCTGTAGGAAGCTAGCCATGCTTGGCTGCCCAAGTTACACCAGTATGACTGTAATATTCAGATGATGTCTCATTTCCCAGCCATCCTTCTGATAAGCAGATTTCCAAGTGCCTGCAGGCATTGCACATGAAGTAACTGATCGATACATCCATGATGCACCCATAGGCATAGTTTGTAAATAAATGTGATTTCAGAAGGACACAGTATTTAGATGTATTGTCAATTGTCATTAGGTTGTTATGAATCTTACACTTGGTGTTTTCTTAAATTTCTAGCTTCTGAAATTAGGTACTAGCAAGACAAAGCCAGTTTTTAAAAGCATAAGAATTTTATCATTGTAGTCTTTTAGAAGCCCTTTGAAGTTTTGAAAGGTGAGAAAACATAGAGAGGCACTTTAAATTTAGAAAATTGACTAAAATATCTTGCATTTTTGGAGAACTATTTCTGATTTTCTGTACTATTTAATATTGCTTAGCATCAGTGGACTATGGTTGTATTGTTGTGTTTTCCTGCATCATGCTTTCTTGAACAGATCTAAATTAATTTTTAGGAAATAGTTTACAAATCTGGATCATAAAGGTAGGATCCTAAAGCATAATTAGATGTTGCTGTCTGATTTCCAAAGATCCTAATCCATATCAGTTCCTGCTAAGCCAAATTGTGAGTAATATGTCTTGAAAAATGTAGTTTTTAGGAGGCTACCAACTTGGTGATTGTGATTTCTAACTTTATTTACAGCTGTACTTTTATACATATGTACAAGCCAATAATAGTTTTAAAAATTTCCAGGTAGCAGAGTGATTTTTTCTTTTTTAATTATTTTTTTTAAATAATTAGGTGCTTGTTTGTTTGTTTGTTTGGTTTTTTTATGAGTAATGCCTTGTTCTTTTCCTCTGCCAAACAATACTAAAGCAAGATTTAATAGATTTTAAGTTCTCTGGGAGAAGAACTATCCTCTTTCAGTACACAGTTTGGCAGTACCTAGAGTAAGGTCCTGATTCTGGATCTGAGAGTTATTCTGTGATAGACAGTAAACAAATTAAGAATTCCAGTAATAAAGATGGAGCAACCACTTTGTTAGACAGTATTATTTGTAGATTAGTCAAATGTGAAGGAATACCTATAATGAAACTTGTATGAAAAAGCATATTTTCGCTTTTGCAATCATGATTTTGCAAACATCTCATGCTTATTCCTTTTGTGTGTCTGAGCTTATGAATTGAGACATGGAAAAGGTTTCAATTCATATTGGTTTTGTTTCAGTTTTAAGCCTCCTGCAAATGATGTTTTTTGCAGGATTTGCTAATGGTAATGATCAAGAGTCTGGAAAATGTCATTCATGGGGAACTTCTTTCCCTCTAAAATCTTAGGTGTCAAAGCTGAGAAGATTTAGATTTCATTTGGTTAGACCACGTTAACTACTATATACTTTTAAAGTACAGACTACTTTACAGTTTTCTAGCTGGTATACCAGTATGTGCAAAAGCTTACAGATTAGAACTCTATTTACAGTGCTAGTTACTATTAAAAAAAATAATTTCCAAGATTTTTTTTTTTGAGTGCTTTGAAGATGCCCAAAGCATCAATGTTATCAACCAGCTAACACTGAAAAACTGATTAGTGGGATTTTAATTTATGTTTATAGCTGTGCACTTGACACCCACTATGTATGCTCAAATAGTAATCTTAATTATACTTTATTTTAAAATATTATCTACCTGCAAATATTTAATGAAAACCAAAATTATACTTGAAGGAAACAAAGACAACTTGAAATTTGTTCAGTTACTTTCCCTCCTAAAGTTCCCTGCCAATTTGAGCTGGTTTATAATCACATTTTCTTGCTACTAAAATGTATTTTTCCTTTCATATTTTCAGCACAGAAAAGCTCACACAGGCAACGGGGAGCTGACTAATATAATATCTGGGGAAAGACTGAGGCTAAACTTATTACTTAGGTCAAATAAAGACCTGTGTGTAAGCCCTAAAATGCTTCAAACAGTGCTGTGTTACCTTCACTGTGTTTTCCCAGAAGAGGCCTGTTGCCTGCATTCTGGCATGGCTGGGGTGAAAAGAGCAGGGCCAGAAAGTGCCTCTAGCCTCTTGGCAGCACTTCACTTTTGTGAGTGATGCC